TTAAGGAAAATAGATTTATTTAGCTCATAGTTTTGGAGGTTGGAAGTTTAGGATGCAGTGGCCTTAATAGTCCAGCCTCTGCTGAGGGCCTAGTGGTAGATGGAGTCATGAGGTAAGGACGGTGAGAGTAGAGAGCAGGTGCAGAGACAGGATGCCAGAGAGCCCTGCTGGCTTGTTTTGCTCTTTTATAATTCCTGTCTCTTTGGGAACTGAGTCTCATGAGAACCACTTAATCCCTTTCAAAGATGATGCTCAGAATGATCCACTCACCTCCTAATAGGCCCTCTGTCTCTCTATCTCTGCCTAACTTCTGTCTCTCTGGCTCTGTCTGTCTGTCTGTCTGTCTGTCTCTTTCTGTCTTTCTGTCTCACTCCAGGGTCTCACTATGTAGTCCAGGCTGGCCTTGAGCTTACCTGCCTCAGCCTTTTGAGTGCTGGGATTATAGGCAAACACCATTACATCTGGCTCTTATTTTTTTGGAGACAAGGTCTCCTTGTGTAGTTCAGGCTGTACTTGAACTCATGATCTTCCTGCCTGAGTCTCCAGTCTGCTGTGATTGTAGGTGTGCGTTATGGTGCCTGAAGGCTCCTTGTCTTAACTTCTTCTCATCTTTCTTTCTCCCCTGGGGAGCAGGCTTCCCATACACCAACCTTCAGGGGATTAACCCAAACCATATCCAAAGCTAGCAGCCAGGATCTATTATTTAAAAAGTATCTCCAGGATTTTGGTTGCATCATTTGATTCCGAGATGATAATGTTTTGATGGCCTCATTTTATTTATTGTTTTCATTTTTTTTCCATTCTGTTTTCTTTCATATCAGATGAGTAATGTGTCAGTGACACAGGGCAGGGGGCATGTAAGGGTCTGTTAGGCTCAGTGTGATCTGTTTTCCTTGGGGAGAAACAATGACAGGAATGAGGAAAAGATAGACAAGAAGATAAGAGCTGGGTTAGGTGGTGCCCTGTCTGCCTGGTTGGGGAGGCAGCACTCCCTCTTCCCCCCAGCAACAGTATGGATGTTTATATCTTTGCAAAGTTAGTAACACATGACACAAGGTTGCCTAGTGACTAATAGCCAACACTGACCAGTCAGGATGCTTATCTCTGGACTCAGATAGCCTGACTGCTTTAGGCACTGAGGCCTAGTCCAGTTTTCACACATTTGACCAATTTTCCAGCTTCCGTGGCTTCCAACAGGGGCACATCCCATCTGGTGGGGTGAAAACCTATTCATCACATTTATGAACCACAGTGTGTTAGAATGTGGTACGCAGGGCCTGGTGGTTCATGCCTGTAACCCCCACACTCTGAGAGCCTGAGGAAGGAGAGGTGCCGGTTGGAGCCTCATCTGTGCAACTTAGGAAGATCTTGTCTCAAAATTAAAAATAGAAAAGAGGTAACTTAGTGCAAGGTCCCTGGGTTTGTTCCCCAGTACCATGGACACATATATGTACACACATATGCTCACAGAGGGGGTGTGGCTCAGTACTCTCTGGCTTCAATCCACAGTATCAAAACATTAAAAAAGTATTAGCATAGTTCAATGTATTTACCTTGTACAATGGACAGTACAGTATGGAGGCACACCTTTCTTCAATCTGCCTGAACATCCTTTGTAGTCTCTGATTAATTTTTAGCAGACATTGTCAGGGAGGGGACCTGGGTACCAGATTACTCCTTATGGGAGAATGTTCTGAAGTTTGCAAGTAGGTTTCTCTCCTTACCTATCTCCCTTCCCTCTGTGCATCCCGCCCTCTTTTTTCACCTCGCTCTTGCTCTCTGTCTGTCTCTGTCTCACTCTGTCTGTCTCTGTCTCTGTCTGTCTCAGTCTCTGTCTCTGTCTGTCTCAGTCTCTGTCTCTGTCTCTGTCTCTGTCTCTGTCTCTGTCTGTCTGTCTGTCTGTCTGTCTGTCTGTCTGTCTCTCTCCCCCTCTCTGTCTCTCCCTCTATATCCCCTCTCCTTTTTTCTCCTCTTCCCTCCTGCCTGACTTCCCTTCCTTCCCTTTTTTATTTCCTTTTTTTTCTTCAGAGTCTCACTAAGTATTCCAGGCTGGCTTTTTCTTTTTTTCTTTTTTTGGGGTTTGTTTGTTTGCTTTTGGGCTTGGCTTTAAACTTATTATGTAGACCAAGCTGACAGGCCTTGAACTCATGCTCCTCCTGCCTCGTGTTCCTGAGTGCTGAGATTATGGGTGTGAGTCACCGAGCCTTACTGGAAGTACATTTCTTTTGAGGATGCTAGACTTATATTTTGCTTTGTAGTCATATTACATGACTATGTGGTGGCCCAATCCTCTGGCTTCCAACATTTTTACTGGCTTGAATTTTTTCTTTATGGCAAAGTATTTAGAAATCTCCAGTCTCAGTTGGTTTCATGCCTGGAGCAGCCAAAGGACAAGGCGGTATCATCCTGGCAGTAAGGCGGCCAAGCCCACAGTGAAATCCATGTGGAATGTTCTCTTTATTAGTCTGGTCCTGTGAGCGCAGAACACAAAATCCCACATAGCCTTGGGTAGAAATTCCTGTTTGGTCTTGGGCCATATATCACCATTTGGTGAATTTGGATGTTTCAAGAGTTTTAGTCTTAAGCATTTCTGCTATTTATATAAATAATTGGGATCTAGTCAGCCTGCTGGGACTTATCTGTCCCACAATCATTTTGACTCTATAAGGAAAGTGGATAGAAGACCAGGCAGATTGGATTCTGTCCCTCTATTTGCTTTTAGAATTGTAGCAAGTTAGATTTTGCTTGGTGAAGGCAGTCTCTATTATGTGCCGTAGTGACATGGGCAAAGACCCCGATCCCCGGCCAAGCTGGGAGTGAGAAGTTACCACAGTTGGTGAAGGAATGGGCAAGTGTTAGAGGCACCCAGAGTGGGGAAAGGGAGCCTGGCATGGTGCCGTAGGCCTGAAATCCCATCGCTGCGGGAGGCCAAGGCAGGAGAATCACAAGTTCAGGACACCTGGGCAAGTAAGAGACTTAGTAAAAGCTTTTCTCAAAATATGTATTTTGTTTGCACGTCATAATAATCACGTTCCTTGTAAGGTTCACACAGGTAATACCTCTGATTTCATTTTGCTTCCCATCCTCTCTTGTGCTCCTCCCTCTACCTCTCCTTCCCCTACCCATCTGTAGAAGAACCATTGTTAAATACATGTGTAGGGCTCAGTATGAAGGCCCTATGCTGAGGACCAGGGGCATTGCAGGAGAGGGGAGAAGCAGAGTGAGCCTTCCAGGCCGGCTATTGGCCTTGCTAGCCAGTTTGGGCAGGAGGCGGAGGCCTTCTGGGTGAAGGAGCAGGTGGCCAGGTGTGCGGCGCTGGCAGAGGATGGTGCGTGAGCAGAGCATGCAGGGCTGTTCAGTGTGGAGGGTGCCCTGGAGGGGCTTCGGAGCAGTGAAGCTGGCCGACTTGGTAGCCTTGCTATGCCATTCAGGCTGACCTTGAACTCACCCTGTAGTCTGCACTGGCCTTGAACTCATGGTGATCCTCCTGCCTCAGCTTCCTGGGTGCTGGGGATTCTAGGAGTGACACAATCACACATGGCTCGTGGAAGGTTCTTTGGGGTAAGATTAGATCTGTCCTGTTTATTTTGTTATTTAAATTTTGATTTTCCGTTATAAATGTCTGCTAGTGAAACGTAGCTCACCTTGGACTTCGCTTTTTCTGAAATGTACAACTTATTATTTGGATTTAGATGTCTGTGCCACTTGCCACGAGCACGCCACATGCCAGGAGCGAGATGGCAGGAAGATCTGCATGTGCAACTACGGCTTTGTGGGCAATGGGAGGACCCAGTGTGTCGGTGAGTCGTGGACGTGGGCGAAGCAGAGCCACAAATCACGATTGTCTCGTGTTGAAGAGGTGATGTCCTGGGGGTCGGGGAAGGCTCAGTGTCATTTTCTTCACATGTTTTGTATTTTGGAAAATGTTGTCAGCCCTAAGAAGTCTTTGCTTTAGGCTTTCCGTGGACCCTCTTTCTAGCACTTCCGAGCACGTCTCCCTCAGATGTCATTGAGCTTGAGTATCTGGAAACTCGCTGTTTTAACAAAAATTTGAAATGTGTTATAAATCTTGAGTTGATCTTAGCAACTCGAGTGATTATTCTATTTCTTCATTTCTCTGGTTATTTTGATTTAAAGCTATTCTCTCTCTCTCTCCCTCCCTCCCTCCCTCCCTCCCTCACTGCCTCCCTCCCTCTTTTCTTTCTTTTACTGAGACTGCATCTCATTATCTAGCCCAGGCTCATGTGCCTCCTCCTGCCTCAGCCTCCTCAGTGCTGGGATTACACATGGGAGCTACCTTGCTTGGCTTCCTATTTCACTTTTTTGGTTAGTTGATAAAATACATCACTTGCTTGGAGGTTTTTTTTTTTTTTTTTTTTATGTCCACCAGAATGAGTACCCTAAATATTACGTAGCTGTAACCCTTTGGTTACAACTGAAATGAAAGGAATTCATTTACAACTAAATGAAAGGAATACAAAGACCTTTAGGCTAGAAGCTCTTGAAATTATTTTTTCTTCATGGCATGCATGCCGTGACAGTCCGATAATATCCAGATTAAAGCCCATTCAGAGAGACAGCAGGAGTTTCACCATAGTGAGTGTCACAGTCATCTCCCACTTTCCTCCCAGCCACCTTGTTATGTGCTATAAAAAAATGACAGCTTTTTCTTGTATTTGTGGGTAGACAGCCTCACTGATTGCAATGTGTGGTTTTCTTTCCTCCCTAAATAAAAATAACAATTCAGTCCTGCATTCAAAAAGCCCTGCACATGGCGGTGTGCACCTGAAATCGCAGCTACTCAGGAGGCTGATGCAGGAGGGTCACTTGAGCCCAGGAGTCAGGAGCCCCAGGCCCCAGGCTCTCCCACCAGGGCTGAGCCTCTAGGTTGGGCTGCATCTCTGACCCTTGTCCTTAGGATTCTACCCCGAAGTGCGGCTGCGCTGCAGCCTGAGCTTACTGAGGGAATTTCTCCTGTCCCTCCTCTACCCCTGGTCCTGAAGCTGGGAAGTGGACTCGGAGCATGGGTGAGCTTTCCCCAAAGGACTTGTGCCCTCCTGGAGGATGGCTGTGCTCTTGATGGCTCTGTGAAGTAATAGTCCCTTCCCCTCGTGGGAAGTGGGGCTTCATTAAAGGATGGAGCTCCTGCTCCACATGTCCCAGCACTGGGCCAGCAGTGCTGTAACATGGTCTAAGGCCATGGGACTGGAGGAGTCTTGAGTCCTCCACAAACCCCAGTGCCCATTCCAGTGAAGTCAGCGGGGAGACACAGCACAGAAGCAGGGGCAGAAGACAGGGAGATTCTGTCTAGTGCACGGCTGGATTTGTGTCTGAAAGCACCACGTCATGTTCTGTCCTGTGGGGCATGTAGGTTGTGATTTACTGTGGGTTGAGAGTTCTGCTTCTCAGATTTTATACCAGACTGAATTGTGCTATAGGTTCAGCTAAATATTAAAAGTTATTCATATATAATAAAATGTTATATCCACCTGGGCTTTGGGGGGAGATGGATTTTTTATTTGTTTTCTGTGTTTTAAGACAAGGTCTTCCTATTGCTATGTAGTTTGGGCTGTGCTTGGACTCACCATATAGCCAGGCTGGCCTCAAACTCAAAGCAGTCCTCCTGCCTCAGCTTCCCAGTGCTGGGATTGCGGGCATGTGCCACCACACCCAGTTTACAGTGGTTGCTTTTATAACAGTAGTTGCAGCTCAGACTGAGAGAAGAAGTTGGCTGCTCCCTGGGCTAGAGGGAGGACGAGGGAGGAAGATTCACTTTCATTTTACTTTTTGCATTTCAAATTGTTTAATTAAAAACACTCAGGCAGACCTTCACAGGGTGACTGCTGGCACTCCCACAGGTCCCCCAGGATTTGCCTCAGGCATTTCTGCCTTCACATTAGCCCTGCTCCCCACTGAGGCTGAGGCTCACTCTGATGTTTCCCGGGAGATCACAAATGACACATTTTCCGGCCTAGTCACTGGAAGTGATGCCCTCCTCCAGCTTTCATGAACAATCCAGAAAATAGTATGCTGGCAAAAGGGGTTGCAGCTACGTTTGTTTCCCTGGGCCTCTCTTGTAAATTTTTAATTTGAAAGAATAGTAATTATTATCATTAGTATTATGAGTAGTACTGTTTGGTGCTGGGGATCGAACTGAAGGTCTTGTAGATGCAATGCTCACATACTATGGCTGAATGACATCTCTACGAGATGATTGAAATGTGGAAAAGCTCACAGTCTTGAAACAGGATGGGTTGCTGGGTTAGGATATGTTGTTTTTCTGGTGGTTTTGTATGCTGTTGACACACACATATGACAGCCTCATGTCTTCCAGTCTGGGAAGCATAGTGGAAGAAGAAGAGGCCATGGAAATGGATCAATAAGCTGTTCTCACAGAATTCCTTTCTCCAAGTCCTCAGCACAGGGCAGCAGTCTGGGTTGTGGACCCCTGTACAGATGGGTAAACGCTTCTAAGTGTTGTTTCCATCCATCAACAGATAAAAATGAGTGCCAGCTTGGAGCCGCTGTGGTCTGTGGGAACCACACATCTTGCCACAACACCTTTGGGGGCTTCTACTGTGTCTGCCTTGAAGGTTACCGAGCTACAAACAACAACAAAACGTTCATTCCCAATGATGGCACCTTCTGCACAGGTACCAAGAGGGGACTGTGGCTGTGGGCCCCTGGTGCTGGTGGCACAGTATGTGGGTGGTGGAGGTGGACAGGACAGGGCTCTGGCGAGGTCAAATTCGGGGAGAGACTGTCCTTCAAAAATAACAGTGCACACCTGCAATTCCAGCACTCTGGAAGGCTGAGGCGGGAGCATCACAAATTTGAATCCAGCCTGGGTAACTTACTGATTTAGCAAGACCCTGTTTCAAAGTAAAAAAGGGTTGGGGATGTAGCTCAGTGGAAATGCCTTCAGTTCTGTTTTTAGTACTATAAAAATAAAACAAAAACTATGAAAGCTGTTGGAAATAGACTTATTAGCCAATAATAGGGAACTGATGTTTATTTATTATATGAATCTCTTAGTTACTTCTCTGGTTGCTGAGGCAAAGTACGAGACATCCAAAGTGGAAGGAGGAAAGGTTTATTTAGCTCACAGTTTGTAGAGGTTTCAGTCCATAATCAGCTGGTCCAAGGAAGGATGGCATGTCAGAGGGGAAACATTTCATGTCAGGCATAAGATAGCAGTGTGACAAGGCACGACAAGAACTCTTTCTATCCTTATGTCTTATCCAGGCTACTTAGGATAGGTAGCACCTGTGATGCCCTTGATCCTAGCACTGCACCGTGAGTCAGTCTAGAGTTGTCACACACTCTAGATCCAGCCACCTCTGAGAAAGCCCCATCTACTACTGTGGGAGACACTGGGGGGACATCTAGACACAAGCAATAACAATGGAATCATGGTATTGTGATATATAGGATAGTAATCATATTTTGAAGGATGCATGAAGTGTCTAGGAGTGTTATGAATAATTGAATGTTATGATCTCTGGAAGATACTTTAAATGAACAAATTTTGGATGGCAGGGTGGGAGTGGTGGGAGTGGTGGGAGTGGTGTATGCGAGGGGTCCTAGTGTTACTTTTCTGACTCTGCCTTAAGAATGACCAGGGGCTGCCCAGAGCCAGTGTGCAAGCTGCGAGCGCCTATAACCTTAATGCCTGTGCAGTGCTTTGAGAGCACAGTAGGTGTGTAGGTCAGATTTCTGCAATATGTTGGTCGGAATGTAGAGGAGGGGGACAAACCACCCTAATTTTCAGTGGCTTTTCTATTATCTGGGCTATATTTTCAGTAACTTCACCTTTTCTTTTCAGTCCTGGAGATGGAATCCAAGATATTGGCAGAGAGCTATGTTCCCAGCTCTTTTTAAATTTTTATTTTGAGGCAGAGTCTCACTAAGTTGTCCAGGTTGAGCTCGAACTTTAGATCCTCCTTCCTCAGCCTCCCAGAGTGCTAGGATTACAGATGTGGTAAGGTCTTGCAGCTCTTTAGATTTCTAAGCAAATACTTGTAAACAGGAAGAGGAGAGGCAGGGAAATACTTCTAGCTCTAAGATGGTTTGGATAGATTTCACGACTGTTTAAAAGCTTTGACTGATGAAAGAGGAATGCAAACTCAATCTCAGGCTGGGGCAATGAGTGAGACCTTACTTGAAAATAAAAAATGAAAGAGGTTGGGGATGTAGCTCAGAGCAAAGACCCTGAGTTCATTTTTTAATCACGCATGCATGCACGCACACACACACACACACACACACACACACATATACACATACCCCATTTGAGACCCCTCCTGTTTCTCAGGAGCTATTCTTTTTTCCCATTCCTTTCCTTCAATAAATTTTCCTATTCTTAACGTGCAAACAAAATAGAACAACAACAAAAAAATACACATACACAGACACATGTGTATACATACACAGATGCATGTGTGCGCGCGTGCGCGCACACACACACATACTCACATTAAAGCTTTGTAACTTTTTTTTTTTTTTTTTTGAGACTGGGTCTTGCTCTGTTTTTCAGTCTGAGCTTGAACTCACTATGTAGCCCAGGCTGGTCTTGAATTCACGGTGATGCTCTCGTCTCAGCCACTGGAGTGCTGGGATGGTACACATGTATCTCCATGCTTGGCTGAGCTTTGTGATATTTAAGGGTTTTCTTGGAAAAGAAAGAGAGAGAACAAGTTGTATCTTCCTGCTGCCAGGAACCACTGCTTCTGATGCTGCGTTTCATCTCCCTCTTGATCTGCACCAAGGTGACATTTCTCGGCATACAGTTGATTTATTTGTGGCATGAATGAATAGCACTCTCGGGGAAAGCATTTGATTCTTTCTTGTTTTAGGTGGCAAACTAATGACTGCATGGTTGAGGAAGTGCAATATATTAAATTAAGTATGTTCAAGAGATACTCATTTTTAAGAAAAATCTTACAAGATGATGATGTGATGCCCCGCTTATTCAGCACACATTTCTCACACATGTCTGACCTGCAAGCTTGTGCCTGTAGGAGGTGACAGGCAGACAGCTAAGTGAGTGGTTCTAGGCGTGAGTCACAGGCAAGCAAAGGTGTTTATTGTCGTACCTGAAGCTGTCGTCAAGGCTGTGGGAGTTTGACAAGAAAACCTTTTATAGCTGTATATTTATCAGTACAGTTCCTGTATATTATGTATATTTATATAGCTGTGTATAGCTGCATCTGTAACTGTATATAGCTGTGTATTTATCAGTAAAGGTGTGCATTCAGCTGTTTAAAGTTAGAAGAAAGAGGAAGAAGAAGAAGGAAGAAAGGGTGAGAAGAAGAAATAGGTGCAAGAGCTACATGGGTGCCAGCCAAATGAGAGCCAGTCTTCCTGGAACAAAGGCCTGCTCTAGTCCTGCTACTTATTCTCCTTCTTGATACTATTTCATGATTGCCTCCTTCAAGAAAATCGAGACAGCTGTGTGTGCTGGCCTACGCCCTTAACCCCAGCACTTGGGAGGCTGAGGCTGAAGGATAGCTATGAGTGTGAGGCCAGCCTGGGCAACATAGGAAGTTCAAGGCTAGCCTGAGCTACGTAATGAGACCTTGTCTCAACCCTCCCCCCACAAAATAAATTGTGGCATAGTTCATTTTCCACAACCTCCTAGTGCCTTGTAGTGTTCACATCAGTGTTTTGGTGTTTTTTTTTTTTTTTTTTTTTTTTTTTTAGAACAGGGTCTTACTTTGCAGTTCATGCTGGCTTTGAACTCACAATGTGGCCCAAGCAGGCCTTGCACTCATGGTGATTCTCGTGTCTCAGGCCTCCTGGGTGCCAGGATGACAGGTGTGAACCACACTTCAGTGCTTTTTAGTGTATTCATGAAGTTGTGCCACGATTCCTGCTACCTCATTTTAGAACATTTCCATCACCCCAAAATGAAGTCCTGTGTGAACTAGATTCCTTCCCATGACCTTTCCCTCTGGGCTCTCCAGGTAGTTCTTTGTAAGAACTGATAGAAGACTCTTCCTGCCATTCTTGTTTTTCTTTCTGTATCAGAGTTCCAGAGAAATGTCAGTGGGCTGGGCTGGAGCTCAGCGAGTTTTGGGCTATCAGCCATTATCCAGGGACTGTGAAGCCTAGTTCCTTGATTCTAAGGAATCTGGAACCCAAGGGCTTGTATGAAGTATGATCTAAAAATACAGTAACTATTTACAATTTTTAAAAATTGTTATAGTAAAAGACACATCACCACGAATCCTCCTCAAAACACTATCCCTCACTTTGAACTCATTAATGTCCTCACTTTCAGAAGTCCTGGAATTGTTCTTTTGTGTCTTTCATTGTACTGCTGTGGTTGCCTCAGTGTCCTGCATCTGTTCAAAGCATTTACCCTTCATGGCCATTTTGGCTTGGGAGAAGAGGCAGCAGTCATGCAGGGCCAGCTCTGGTGAATGAGGAGGAAGAGGATATGCTGTAATATTCTCCCAAGCCAGCTTTTGTTTTTTTTGTATTTTAGGGAAGGGTCTACAGAGTGTTTAGGGTCTCACTACTAGATTGGACTTGTAGTGATCTGCCTGTTTACAGGCTCCCAAGAGCTGGGATTATAGGGGCCAGGGAGATGACTCAGTGGAATAAGTGCTTCCCTGGCAAGCGCAAGGGTCTGTGTTCAATCCCCAGTAAAAAAAAGGACTGGGATTACAGGCGCATGCTACCACGCCCCCACCTGGGACCCTCAAGGCCCCTACAACTGCTGGCAGGTGACAAGCCAGCCTTTTTATTAGGTGGCCCTTGGCAGCAACATTCACCATGTTTTTCATCATTCATCATAAACACACTCACAAAAGAGGACTTCCAGAACTGCTTCAGAAACTGGCAAGAGCTTCTGCCACAGCAACCATCGAAGAACAGTAGCCATGGCCCTCTGCTATCCCATGGCAGTGGGTCTCAACAAGGGCCACAAGGTGGCTAAGAGTGTGAGCAAACTGAGGCTCAGCCACTGTCGTGGACGCCTCACCAAACATACCAAGTTCACGCGGGGCTTGATCCGGGAGGTGTGCGGCTTCGCCCCCTAGGAGGGGGGCGCCATGGAGCTGCTCAAGGTCTCAAGGACAAGTGCGCCCTCAAATTCATCAAGAAGAGGGTGGGGATGCACATGGACCAAGAGGAAGCGCGAGGAGCTGAGCAACATGCTGGCTGCCAGGAGGGAGGCAGCTGCCAAGAAGGACTGAGCCCCTCTGGAATAAAGCTGTGCAGAAAGTTCAAAAACAAAAAACAAACAAACAGAAAAAAAGAAAAACAAAAACAAAAAAAAGAGGCAAGAATGATGGGCTAAGTGTGTGCAAATGGAGGAGTGTTTTGAGGGACATTATTGGTGATGTGTCTTTTACTGTCATGCATTTGAACATTTAAACATCTGCCATGCATTCCCATCACCCTTAAACTTGGCAGAGCAGCATCAAGCTCAAGAGGCAGGTGGGGCCCTTCGGAGCTAACCGGTGATAGATGAGTAAGGCTTTCTGGGCTCTGGTGTGATGACTGCAGCCTATTCGAGAGCTCGTAGATGTTCTGGTCCCTGGAGCTGCCCTATAGGAAGCAACACATCTTGTTTTTGTCCACTTATTAAAAATAGAAAAGAAAAAAAATCACCCAGAAACAACAATTCCTCTTGGTAAATTGCTAG